CCAGATTTGACCTCTAGGAGGATCTTGGTCTGAGAGAAGTGTTTAATTTGCATTCAGAACTGATAAACTTCTGCCAGGTTCTGAACAAATGTTTCCCATTAGATTTGTCCTGTCTAAGAGCACAGTGTCTGCTATTGGCTCAGTTTCCAAATGATGGGAAAGGCCTGAGGTTAAGTGAGGCTTTGCACCTGACCTCAACTCCTGGAGCAGTTGTAAGAGACTCATGGCTGGCTGTATGCCTGGTATCTGTGCAGCAGATTCCTCTTAAAATGCTAGTTGATAATTCATCTAATGGATACCATATTCATACCATGTTTTAAAACGTAAGTTGAAGCTCAAGTTCAATAAGTTTAGCTGAGTTGTGAGCAAACATGCTTACGGGAGAAAAGCATTTGCTGTGGGCTTTTTGGCCTATAGTTTTGCTATTTAATGGGGTTGTCTGTTTGACAATCTGATGATCGTCTCTACTTGCTTAATTTAGACTTCAGTTACATACCTTAGTTGTACTTATTGTTTGTATCTGACATATTGACAAGTATATTTGACATGTATAAAAGTGATGACTACTTGACACACTTGGGTTTTCTACAATCATGAGGATGGTATACTCTACCTGACATTTAGTTTTTACTTGCCTGTAACTCTCCATTTTTGTGAAAGTGTCTAAAATGTCTACCAAATTGTTCTTTGGTTAGGCTTCATAATTGAGAATTGTCTTAGTTCATATTTACTTTCTTAATGTCAGATGTAGCATTTCCATATAGAACTCTATAGTTTTCTAGTCTTTTCTGTTGAATTTTCTTCTTTTCGTAGATAAAATGTATAATCTGCAAGTTTACTTCTAATTTTGGGAACTATGATAAAGAAACAGCAATGTAATACTATTCTCTTTTAAAATTGTTTTGTTGGATATTTCTTTTTTTTGTTTGAATTTTTGAGACATTTCCCTGTAGCTTTGGAACCTGTTCCAGAAGTCACTCTGTGGGCCAGACTGCCCTCAGACTCACAGAGATTCTCCTGTCTCTGCCTCCTATGTGCTGGGATTAAAGATATACACCATCACCATCTGGCTTATTTGGTGTTTCTTAACTGGTTCTTTTATGTTTTTTGATTTGTCAAAGCATTGTGGGGAACAGTGGGGAGTGATTCTTATCAGTCTTAATGCCACATAACACACTGAAGTTAATGAGACAGTTTTAGTTGACAACTTTAGGTAATTACATCCAGTGTCCCCAAAACTCCCAATTTTCATTATCCTAGTAATAGAAATTAGTAAATGAGGTTATCAACCTTTTCATAAAGGGTGATAGGTAAATGTTACAAGAGTTGGAAGCCTGTCTCCTGTTTAATATCTAGGGTTCTTTTTTCAGGTTAATTTACTTCCTAATGTCAAGGTTTTTTGATATCTATATGGTATGTCTCAACTTTTTCTGCCCTTGACATTTGTAGAGATAACTTAAGATAATTGTATAAGAGAAATTGGTGATCTTGTGGTCATTGTGGGAACAGTAATCTTTCGGGCAAAAGTTTGAATAAAAGTTGAATGTATATTATTGGTCTTCGTGTAGGTACACTTTTTAATAATGTGCTTGTTTTTGTGAGAAGTCACTTAAGAAGAGTGACAATAAGTTGAAGATTGCCTCCATTGGATTAGCCTCTGGGCATGCCTGTGGACTATTTTCTTGATTAATTATTGATATGGGAGAACCTCTACCCAACTGGGCAGTGCTCACCTGGTCAGGTTGTCCTGGGCTGTATATAAAAGCAAGCCACCCAGACACCCACAGCTAAACACTGAGCTGAATCCTGGGATTCAGTTTCAGAGAGGGAGGAGCGATGAGCAAAGGGGTCAAGACTTGGTGGGTGAAACCCACAGAAACAGTTGACCTGAGCAAGACCCTCCATGGGGGATCTCCAGAATCTCTCTATTCGTTCAGGGCAGGGCCTAGGCCCTCCCCCATGTGTCCAGGCTGAGAGAGCATCCCTCATTGTGGGATGGGCACCCAAAGTCCAGTTGTATGCCAGGGATAAATACTGATCTACTACCCAAGGCCCCATAGATTTTCTAGTCCTGCTCACTGACACCCACATTCAGGGGATCTAAATCAGCCATCAGTCTGGGGTCCAAGAGCTCCCCCTTGTTACTTTTTCAATTGTAATTTCTCTAGGTCATTAGTTCTTCATAAATTGCTAGTACCAGTTTGCTTAGTGAACTCTCATTTGTAAGTCTGCTGTCTTTGTTGCCAGGATCAATTCAGATCAGTCCCAGTGTTAGGTGAGTATGAACTCAATTTTACTTGTTCTGGACCATATTTTGTATGTTCATCCATGTGTTCAGGATATGAAGGAAGTATCGCTGTATCTAGTTTGTATTTAATACCTGCTTAAGACCAAACAAATGTGGAAAAATAGGCCCCTTAGTATCTTTATGTATATTTTACACCATATTTTGAGCAAACAGGGCAAATAAATGTTCTACTGTTCTGTGTTTTGAAATGCTGACTAGATGCCCGTTTACACATGGCAGGTTGCTTATAGCTTTATTCTATGCAGTGGGTTCTCTGCTGGAATCATAGAAAGGAAGAAGATGTGATAATTGCTTTGAGTAGTTAACAAAAGTGCAAAGCGAGATGTTTTGAATTTAGTTTGTACTGTAACCATTTCCAGGAACCCACATTTACACAGCAGTGCTTATCATCCAGTATACAACATGTCAACCGTGTCGCAGTTCACATCAGTGAAAACCTTCTACTACTCTACCTCCATCAGTTAATGCCAAATAAGCTGTGTTGAGTGCACATATTAATATATATCAAATGTAGCAAGTGCCTTGCTGGCTGCACTTTTAGTAACGGTTTTCTGTGGTCATGCGGGTTAGGCCTCTGAATTTCTATTAGGAAAACTCAATTGAGAATTTATAGTGCTCCTGATTTAGCTTTGCCAGCTGTGCCAAAGCCATAGAAAGTAGCTCAAGAGGGTACAGTCTGGAACAGGACACAAGAGTGACACACACCTTGTTTACTTCCTGCTTGCTTGCTCTGTGTGCTACTGTAAGGGTTGGGGCTACATGTAGAAGTTAATAACTGACCCTCTAGCTCATATGCCATCATCACAATACACCATACTCTGTGAATTGTAGGTTGTTTCGTATAAAATAGAGAATAGTGATTGTTTGTTGCTATTTAATCATGAAATCAAGAAAGGGATTCTTGAAACTGTGTTTTTAGCCTGGAGAGATGGCTTAGTGTTAAGAGCACTTGATGCTGTTACCAAGGACTTGGAACTCCAGATCCATGGGATCTGATTTCTCTTCTGACCTCCCCAGACTCTTGGATGTATATGATGTACACACCTACACTCAAGTACACACACATAAAATAAACAAACACATTTTAAAAATGTGAATCATAAATGTGATCTTTGCATTAAAACATATTCTTTATTAATATAGCTACAATGAATATATAATTGTTCTGTTCAGGAATCAGATAATTTGAGGCTAAAGAAAAATGATTTAGTCATTGTGCTGGCTAATTTGACGTCAGCTAGGGCCATCTGAGAGGAGGGAACACAATTGAGAATAATATCTGGCTGGAGACAAGCCTATAGGGCATCTTCTTAATTAGTGATTGATGGGGGAATGTGTCTTCGTTACTGTTCTATTTCTGTGAAGAGACACTATGACCAAGGCAACACTTAAAACACTTAGGGCTTGCTTACAGTTTCAGAGGGTTAGTCCATGCTCATCATGGCAGGAAGCAGACAGACTTGGCACTGGAGCCGTAACTGAGAGCTTTACATCCTGATCTGCAGGCAGAAGGCGGGAGGGAGAGGGAGGGAGAGGCGGGAAGAGAGAGAGAGGGCGGGACTGGGTCTGGCTTGGGATTTTAAAACTTCAAAGCCCATCCCAATAACACGCCTTCTCCAACAAGCCCATGCCTCCTAATCCTTCCCCAGTAGTTTCAGTAAATGGATACCAAGCATTCAGACTTTTGTGTTGTCAGTGTTGGTTTTTCATCTTCTTGTTCACTCTCAGTGGAGTTTTGCTTTATAGCACAGGTTAGCCTCAAACTTGTAATCCCCCTTTCTCAGTGTAATTGCTAGGATTATGGCCACACACTACCATGCCTGGCTTGGATGTAATTTTCATTATGTGTGCTCTAAATAGAAGTATTTCTATTGTATGTGTTGCAGCTTTTGCTTTCAAACTTTAGGGTTAGTTGTTTCCATCTTGCTCATGAGCAGCCTGTGACCAGCCAGCTATAGTGTTAGTGCTTTTGGTTGAAGCGGAGAAGAATGAGACTTTAGTAAGTCATAATTTTTTAGTATGCTATTTACTAGGGTGCCATTTATAGAGCATAGATTTCAGGCACTGAAGCAAGCATAGTTTCTTTTTAAAAGCTTCTGGTTGTTTTTCTTAAAGTTCTATTTTTAATTAAATTTTAGGCCATATAGTTGCTTTATATATTTATGTATTTTCCCTTAATAACTATCTGCATGTTAGGCAAGAACACTCTGACCTTCTAAATTGCACATGCTTACAGTTTACATTAAATTTCACACTTTCAAAATTACCTGGAGATTTAAAATATGAGATGATCATAACTAAGGAAAAAGGATTATGCATTTAGGCTGTCCTGGACTACACAGACAAACTGTGTCTCAAGCATACACACAGGCACATGCACCAGCAAACACCATTGACTGATAAGGAGCTAAGTACAGTCAAGCAAGTTTACAGGTTATCTGTAGGTTGAAGATTTTGTGTTTGGTGACATTTGTGCTATAACAACAGTTTTAAGCCATTGGCTGAGTCAAATGACATACAAATACTGTCATTTGAAGCAGGCAAATAATACATTTTGAGGCATGGGCATCTACAAAGTAGAGTGGCAAATGAAGGTGTGAAGTTATCCTCTTTCTCTTGTAGGAGCTAGGAAACTTTCATGGAGCAGGTAGGGTTTGAGTAGAGCTTAATTTGTGGCTTTCATTCATTCTAGACTGTTCTGAAGATTGATGTCTATTTCCTTGAGCTCTTTAATTTTCTTGCCAATTTGGATAAGCACGGCACAAATCCAGCAGGGAGGTCCAGATGAAAAAGAAAAGACTACAGCATTGAAAGGTACATACTTAAATTACCTTTTCAGGGAAATTTCATCATGCACAGTGAAAGGTAGAAATACTTAGGACTCTTCGTTCATTTCAGTTGTAAAATAAGAATATCAGTGCCTAAGCTATTTGCAAGTGTTTATATTGCTCACAGCAGCCATTCGAATGCCTGAAATGAATCATAGACTCAAGAGTTCACAGAGAGAAGGCTTCTCAATGGTCTTCCTGCTCAAGGTCACCATTTAATGATAAAACAAACACTTTCAAGACTTTTCAATCAAGATTAGTATCTTTTCCATATTTTTCTGAGTGGACTGTCACATATTCTGGCCTTCCTGTATTCTGCTATTATGCTACTATGTATTTCTGCATAATATTGTTATGAAGAATAATGTCAGGGAGTACCTGCACAATGTAGGATGTAGAGAGATTGTAATGTTATCAAAGAAAATAAGAGTATAGAGACCACAAATGTTACTACTTAGGGCAGAAGATAAGTAGTAGACTGTAACAATTATAGATATGGTATGTTGTCTACCACATAGGAGCCATAGATTTATCAGAGTGGGAGAACTGGGAAAATAAAGGGATCTAAGAATGCCCTGGAGGCTCATTTCCAATGATGCTTGCTCTATTTCAGGGTCCCAACTTGTTAAAGTCATAGTCACCTCAGCATGAGAATTTTCACTTTAAGTCATGTGCTTTTGTGTATATATGTATGTGTATGTTCATGCAGGTATGTGCATATATGGAGGCCAAAGGTTGGTGCTGAATATTTTCTACAATTACTCTACACCATTTTTTTCTTTTTTGAGACAAGGTCCTTCACTGAACTAGGAACTTTTTGATTTAACTGGACTGGTGGCCAATAAAACTGAGATGATGTCTCTGTCACCCAGTGCTGTAGTCACAGATACATATGTGTCTGTGTACCTAGTTCTTAATGTTGGTGATGAAAATCTGAACTTGGGTCCTCCTGCTGCTTGCTACTTTAAGTGCTTTAACAAGGGAACCATCTCCCCAGACCTGTTTTTCTAGACTTTTTTAAAAATATAAAACACTAAAACATAATGCAGTTAGCCAGTCCATCTTTTTAGACTTTGTTCCCTCAGGCTGAGCAGGGTAGGGCCAAGTGAAAGCCATTAAGTCTTGTAACAAGAAACAAATAAGGTTCCAGCAATAAGAACAAACAGAATTGGTGTTGAAGACTTTGGGTGCTTGCTTTTTGTGCAATGACTCTGTAATTAAAAAGTCTATTATCTGTCTAGCATGAGTTTTTATTATATCTGACTCAAAGATGTCTCCTTTTGGTGATGATGATGATAATTTTTTCTATTAATCTCTGTGTTTTAATCCTGGTTTATTATCAACATTTTAAAAATTTTAAAATTAGTTCCTATCTGTGTAAGTTGATATTTTTAAGAACTTCTTTTCTTTTTAAGATAGAATCTCAGCCGGGCAGTGGTGGCGCACGCCTTTAATCCCAGCACTCGGGAGGCAGAGGCAGGCGGATCTCTGTGAGTTCGAGGCCAGGCTGGACCGACAGCCTCCAAAACAATACAGAGAAACCCTGTCTCGTAAAAACCAAAAAAAAAAAAAAAAAAAAAAAAAAAAAAAGAGAATCTCAGTCAGGTTGTCCTTAAACTTGCTATGTAGCCATTGGATATCCTTGATACTATCCTTGATCTTATATAGAAGGCTGAGAATCAAATAAGGATCACCCATGATCACTACCTCTACTTCCCAAGTGCTAGTATTTCAGGCAGTGTGTACCACCATGCCCAGTTATGGGAGCATTGTTTTATTTTTAGGTGGTGTGTACCACCATGTCCAGTTATGGGGGTATTGTTTTATTTTTAGGTGGTATGTACCTTGGTGCCCAGTTATGGTGGGTATTGTTTTGTGTGTGTGTGTGTGTGTGTGTGTGTGTGTGTGTGTGTGTGTGTGTGTGTGTGTGTGTGTGTGTGTTTGACAGGTCCTAATAAGTTGCCCAGGGCTGGTTTGAACTCATTGTATAGTCCAGGATATCCTAGAACTTGCAGTGATCCTCCTGTCTCAGCCTGTTGAATGCTGGAGCTATAGGTTTGTACTATCACCTCTGAGTAAGAACTTTCTTTTTTTAGTTAGTAAGGAAATTTACAATTTGATTTTTTTCAAAAATGCAAAGAAATGACAATTTCCCATTAACAAATTTTAAGTAATAAAAAAAAGCTCTACTAAGGCTTTCTAGTGTGCTGGTAGGTCAGTACTCCTAAGACTCATGCTGTTCAACTGAATTAGAAAATAAACAAGGAAATGCAACATAAGGTAAATTTTAGAGCAAACTTCAAAGCCTGCAAACCATCTAGAATAGAAGGCAATTTTGCTTTTGAATTTCTTCACTATTGGGCATTGATATGTGAATACTGGATGATGGTCACTGACTTATTAATTGTAGGATATTAAACTTATATGACTAGAATGCACATTTGGAGATAGTTTAATTTTTAATGAATGGAAGGTACTTCAGAATATGAAATTATGTGAGAATTTTATAATATATACAATGAACTATCAAACGTGCCCCTATTTCCCCTTCAAACTCTCATATCCCCTTCCCCAAGCCTCTTCCTCCTAACTTCCTCTCTTCCCCATGTTTGGCTTGTGACAACCCACTAAATCCAATTAGTGCCGCCTGTATGTCCATGGCTGTGGGATCAACTGCTGCAGTGTGGAAAGTTCAGTAGCCACACCCTCAGAGAAGACTGATTCTCCCTCCCTGATAGCTGTCAACTACCCATAGCTCCTCAGTCGTGGGCAGGGCCTGGGGGTCATCTTCTATTCAGAAGTTTGGTTGCTTGGTCTTACGAAGGTCTTGTGCAGGTAAGCACAGCTGGTGTGAGTTCATGAGTGTGCGAACCATGCCATGTCCATTTGTATTTCATAGCACTCCTCTTTGCTGCCTGGTAGATGCTATTTCTTCTGAGATGCTCCCAGAGTTCTAGTGGCAGGTAGGTGGTTGTGGAAGCTACTGTGCATGGCAGTGTAAATGTTGGGAACAATTCAGAAGAGTTTCTGACTGGGATGGAAAGTGGTGGAGAAATCTGAAGATATGGCAGACTACTCTGGAAGGAAAGTTTCAATTAGGGTCAGTGAGCTGCTTCAGTGGGCAGTGGAAGCTTTCTGTCAAGCCTTATGGCATGATGTCAACTCCTGAAAGTTGTCCTCTGAACTCCACATGTGTTGTGGCATGTCTCGTCCACCACACAGGTGTACACATAGACGCACACGCTAAAATGTGGTGTGTGTAGGAGAGTTTGACTTAATTTACTGTAATGTTGACAGCAGTGAAGACGGTGAGGATAGTGACTGCTGTCATTAAAGGAAGGCTTTTTACATATTAGACTTTGTCATTGCATGGGGATGGCAATGAAGATAGCTTTGTAGTGATGTCTTCACTCCAAAGTTAAAAGAGTAACTTCTCCTTTTGTTGGTTTTCTAGGGTTGTAGTTTTTCTACCATTTATGACTGATTTGTTTAATGTCTCTTGGACTTCAGCAAAGATGTTCTCTAAGAGGTCTGCTTTCTTATGTGAATTAATTTTGGTTTACTCCCCCTGTGCTCTCACTGCCAGAGCGCCTGCATTTTGTTGTGATGCTTTCTGGACATTAGTAAACATTACTGCTAATTATTATCATTACTTATAATAGCCCTGACTGTAATTCAGTATGTTTATCCCTTGCTATTCCCAGCCTTATTGATGAAGACTGATCAAGAAATTTTTGTCTGCCAGTAGGGTTTTATCTATCTATCTATCTATCTATCTATCTATCTATCTATCTATCTATCTATCTATCTATCTATCTATCTATCTGTCATTTATAATGCTTCTTTTTTTTAAAATTCTAATATAATTACATCATTTCTCTCTCTTTGATTTTTTTTTTCCCTCTAACTGCTTCCAGGCACACCTGCTCTTGGTCAATGTCATGGTCTCCTTTTCCTTAATTGTACACGCACGCACTCACTCCTAAATACGTAAGTGCAGCCTGTTCAGTCTGTGTCATTTTATCTGTGTGTATGTGACCCCAAGTTGATCTCTCCCAGTACACACTCTTGCACCTTGCACCTAAGACTCAGGGATCGTTGCAGAAAGACTGTAAGAGCCACAGGGAGTTTGTTGTCAGAGAGGCTACATCCTGGAAGATCAGCAAAACAGCTGCCTAAACAAGACCCCATATAGGACACCAAGGAACATGATGACTTGGAAGGAGAAAAGCTTTGGGGCCTCAACCCTAGACGAGAACTATGACAACTGGAGAACACCAGGAGTGGGAGAAACGATCTTCTCCAGAGAAGCGCTCCCTACTCTCCACCCCCATAGGTTATCCAGTAAACCTTTTAAACGTGATGCTGCACATTATGGACCTGAGTCATGCAGATTTTGCTAGTTTGGGTTTGCAGTGTTCTCCCAAACCCATGTGTCAAAGGCTTGGTTTACAGCATTACACTATTAGAGTACGGAAGCATTAATAAGATGGAGACAGACACTAGAGGAAGGTTTTAGTCATTGTGCAGTGTTAAGAAAGAGATAGCAAGACTCAGGTCTCTTTGCTTCCTGCCAACCACGAGGAAGCAGCTTCTGCTTTATGCTTTTTCTGTAGTGTACCCTGGTCCCCAGTCACTGCCAACCAAAACATTCAAACTGTAATCTAAATTAACCTTTTCCTCCTTTACGTTATTTCAGGTATTTTGTAATAGTATGGGGAACCTAACTACTGTGGCATCTTGACCTGTGTCTATGTGATCTGACCTGTTAGCTGTTGTATTCTTCACAGATCTGGGTCTGTGTGATCTGACCTGTTAGCTGTTGGTGTTCTTTATGGATCTGTGTCTATGTGATCTGACTTGTTAGCTGTTGGTATTCTTCATGGATCTGAGTCTGTGTGATCTGACCCTAGTTAGTCACCAGTCTGGAGTGGATAATAAGAAACATTCTAGAGGTGACCTAAAATCTGAATCTTAGGCTTCAGG